AAATGAGTGTGATCCAGTGGCGCACCGCGTTAAGGCGCCGCTTGCAAATCCAATGTAGGTTTGACGGTAGCGGGATCGATTCCCTGGAGGAGATGTTTAATGATTTTATTTTTTCCTTTTTATTTAATTTATTGTTTATCTTTTTTTATTTATTTATTTTTGCATAATTATTGTCATCTCTTGTGTTTCCCGAGACTGCCGTCTTTTTTTTACGAAGTGGATATATGATCGGCTCCCGTTCAAAGTCTTCGATGTACTAACATACTAAATGAGTGCTAGTTTTGTTTTGGCAAAAAAATCTTTTATATCTTTATTAGCAATCTAAAAAAAAGATGTCGATTCATATTATAACGTTCTATTTCGAGAAGCTTTAGCTTCTTGTCGTACTTAGCGTGACGAAGTCTCCCGCTCAATTAAGGTCTTCGATGCACTAAATGAGCGGGAGTTTTAAAATGTACAAGCAAATCCCAAAAATACTATCTAAGAATTAAAAAATATTTTATAACTTTATTAGCAATCTAAAAAGAGATGTCGATTCAATATTGTAATGTTCTATTTCGAGCAGCTTTAGTTTCTTGCCACACTTAGCGTGACGCAGTCTCCCACTCAATTAAGGTCTTCGATGCACTAAATGAGCTACTCTGCGAATAGAGCATTTACAAAAAAATTTACAAAAAAAAATTACAAGCGCGCGCCTGCATCGGAGTTGACTGTCCTTCTGAGGGACAAAACTGAATCACGGCTCACGCTATAGAAAAATATTCACGCCTCACGGCTAATTTTTTCGCATTTTMAMGACTAACGGCTAATTTTTCAGCCGTTTCACGGCTCACGGTTAACCCCATTGAGACCCTCTACCCTCTCAAAATAAAAGACTTTATTTTTTATTTTATTTATTTATTATGTAACGGCATTTTCAGGCATATGATTTTTCTATGAACAATAATCCAACAGAAGCTAATTGCTAGTAGACTTAATCTATGAATTGGTATTGGGAACGGCATTTACCCCCCTTGGTGCTATTTTTAGATTTTCCCACCATTCCCCGCGCATGCACGCTTATTGAGAAACGTCGAGATAAAATATAATTTTTAAGATAAAATCGAAGTTAAAGTCGTATCCCAATCAGGACAAATCTCTTGCTCTTATAAAGATGCGGTCACGGCAATGATTTTCTATTGTGTTTACCTAATGAATGCATATTTTATAACTGCGAGATACAAGCGGTAAAAAATAATGTGGTAAAATACTGGATTTAATGCCATTTTAGTGCTTTTTCTAAATATCTCATTGAAATATGTCCCCCGGTACAGCACTTGATTACTGTCTTGGTTTCTCAATTACCAGCGACCTCAGGTGGAATCGCCACATCGCGGATATCACAAACCGTTCGAACAAGGCTCTTGGACTGCTGCGGCGAAGCATATTTCGTGAAAACGCTTCGCGCGTATTCGCGCGTATTCGCTTCGCGCGTAGTTGGAGTTTAAAAATACGCGTGAAACGCTATTTATTACGATCGAAACACCTTAAATAAGCAGCATACAACGGGTTGGTCCGCTCCTTATTGGAATACGCGAGCATTGTGTTGCACCCTTATACTGTCTCCCTATGTCAGGAGATCGAAAACGTTCACAGGCGTGCGGCAAGATTTGTGATGTTGGACTATTCCAACTACAAACCGGGAGAAGTCACTGCCTTATTACAGGAGCATGGTTGGAATACCCTACAGAACCATGGAATTCTTAATAGACTTACTTTATTTAACAATTGGACCCGTCTTCGCTTCTGCTTAGTGATCTCGCCAAGCCTACGCGTACCTCGCGGCATCAACACTCGCGGAGTCATTTGACATCCCCCACGCATGCAAGAACTGACATTTACAAGTAAGAGTTAGTTACCGAGAACGGAGGCATTACGCTATATACAGCCCGAGGGCCGCAGGCCCGAGGGCTGTATATAGCGTAATGCCGACGTGCGAGGTAACTAACAAACTTAGTTTTCAATTCACGTGGTTTTCGCAAAAACTGAATAGACTTAATGAATGTTTTCTTAGTTGGGTTTCGAACAATAGAATCCTCTTCTCTTGAGACTTTTTCATGGACTGTTGAAATTAGTTTCCTTTAAGAAAACCTGTTCATGCGAAAGCGAGCAATCGAAATTTGAATATTGTTATCCAATATTCTTAGCAGTCATTCTGGAAACGATGTCGAACAGTGACGATTTGYTTATAGCTCAAAATACGTTTGGCATCATTCCTTTGACGAACTTTGATATTGACGATTTGCTATCGGATTTGGAACTCCGCATGCTTCCCGCAAATAACGATGACGAAGTCTGCAGATGGGAAAAAATGAGAAAAATTACAATAGTTTTTGATGTTGAACTCGCTCGAAAAAATACGAGGGAAGGATTCAAGAAGAAACAAACTAAAGTTGTACCAAATGGCCGTGTGTACGTGCTTGGATAGAATGGACCAAGTCACACCGATTACTTCTGATTCATACACGTTGGTTAATTCCGAAGAATAGATTCTTTTAAAAGTAACGGCGAAGATCTTGGTTATTCGGAGTGTTGTCTCTATTCTCTGATGAACATATGAAGAAAAGCTGCCGGGACTCGAACTTATTACACTCTAAATCTCCTCAAGTTTTGCTGGCCGCGCTGGTCTTTTTTAGGGGAAAAATAGTTTAGTTTACTTAGTTTATTTGATGTTCAGCAGGGAAATGTGGGGTTGATGAATTGAATTGAATAACTCGTTATAAATTCAGCGGGCTATATGTGAGTGATTCCGGTCACTCATATATAGCCCGCTGAATTTATAACGAGCTATTCAATTCAATTCATCAACCCCACATTTCCCTGCTGAATATCAAATCCSTCCCCGGCTTTAAGTTTCTATGGTATATACAACCCTGTGAATAACAAAGAAAACCTAGTGAATTGGAAACTAAATGCAGTTTCATCCCTATAATAATCAGTAATTGGAACAATCTTCGGCAAGAGATAATAGACACTTAGATCTCATACTCATTAATTATTCATGGGCTATCCAGCCATCCCTGATTTTAATTTGTACCACGTGCAGTAACTGGAAACCAGAGAGGAAGTACTCCTACCTTGTGTTCTAGCTTATTTCCAGTTACTTCTACCTTGTTTCCAGCTACTTCTATCTTATTTCYAGTTACTTCTACCTTGTTTCTAGTTACTTCTAGCTTTTTCTAACTACTACTAGCTAATGATAATCAAAGTATTAGAAATAATCAGCTTAATATAGAATTAATTTAGTGAAAAAAGGTCATTGATAAATGACTCCCTAACGAAACGATCCCGAACCGTCCAATCTATATGCGCCGTCTTATACCATTACGCCACCGAGTTTCTGATGCGATGCCTTGGAAGATAACATACTTATGTATTAGACTCATTAGGAATGCCATGAAAAGCAAACAAAGACAATTTGAAAAGCTTTTGTTTCAGAAAGCCGTTCGGGAATTGGAAAACAACAAACGGTGCTTCTTTATTCAAAATTATGAAAACTGAAAAACTTGGTGGAGATGCAATAAATCAATATATTTCTGTTATATGTATTTCCTTCGCTTTTTTCCCCTCCCGAATAATTAATGAGTATGAGAAGTCGTTCAAAGTCCTCCAATTCGGACTGGACGGGATTTCAAGTCCTTGCAATTAGTTCCAGTCCTCGGCTAACGCCTC